CTACAGCAACTATATATATCCGCGTATGTTCATGTATGATGTCTCACTTCCTGAAAACGAACCTAAAGCCTCGTCAAGGCCTATATTCAAGTTACAAATGTGTTCGCTTTGTTGGAGAAGAAAATTATTTAGACCTATAAATGCAACTTTCAATGCCGTTGAAGCTCTCAAATACACAGTCCGATTCCCATATTTCTAAACCATCCTCCGGTCCCACTTGTGGATACTGTAAGTCAAGCCAAGGCCTGCATTTGCGGAGGACGAACATAATACGTATCCCAGTCGTGCATATCGCACATATCCGTGGCTCCAATCCCCTGCACCTCATCGTAAGGCACTTTCATCCAACCAACATCTTCCAGCGTGCATCCCTCCAGGGGCTCAAGCTCCTCATCCGGATCGACTGACTCATTGCCATCTTCATTTACCTCCGGTTCCCATTCTCCATAAACCAGACGAACAAACCCGGTTTTCGTCATGGCATCCGGGTCCGAGTTCAAGACAGACTCTAGCGCCTCCTGGTCGACCATGACAAAAAATCTGTAGCGACCCGAGTTTCCGAAAGTATCGACAGCCTGTTCCTGCAGCGGTGCAGTCGTAGCCCACTTCCTGAAATGGGTGCGGAGAACGGCGGTGGTCGCACCATCAAATGAGGGGCCTTCAAAGACCGTTGGGGTAAACCCTTCTAGCATATCTAGACCATTGCTATACTCAAGGTATTCTGTGACGGACTGGAGGAAGCGAGCCATGAATCTTTCCTAGTCTTTTTGGCTTTGATATGTGCAGCGATAGATAACGAAGCCCCACTTTGTGAATCCGTCTTGTTGGAGAAGCCGTTCTAGGATGTCTGCGGCGTTTAAGCATGTTTCTATGGTGGGATCCCGTTTTAATGGTTCTTCGATTTCATAATCGGGGATGCGTGAGGAACTTATTACTTTTGAGAATGATTTGGTGAGCTGTGAAGGGCTAGTTCTGGTAGGAAAACGGATGGGACGAGTTGAAATGCTCGAACACCTGAATAATTGCTTCCGAAAAAGTCTTGGAATCATTTAGTGAAAAGGAAATGAAGAAATCTTAGAAGAAAACAAGTTGGGTCCAGGGTCATATTAGCTGCGGTACGGAGTAGACCAAGTGGGAAGAGGAATCACGCGCGTAATTTATCCATGGATACCATTTCGTACTTTCATATGTACTTTCGTATAGCTCCCACCAATCAAATTTACAAAGAGATGATCACTTCACGGAGGCCCTACGAGTTGCACGGAAATGGGCACGTCAAGCAATTCGGGAGGCAAAGGCCCAGTATATTGAAGCATATGAGGCAGGCAACAAACTGGAAACTCATGATCGATGGCCGCATTGGATGCCTTTGAAGATCTCATCGCAGAATCCGGATGCCGTTGGCCAAAAACTACAAGCAGACCAGTCCCTACAATGGTGAGGGGCCAAGCGGGTACAACTCATAAATATATCTACTACGGCCTTGGAAGCTTCCAGAGTTATGGATTTTGTGATCATGCACGCAATGTTACTATAGACCCATGCGCACAGGTACAGGACTCTTGTTCCAAGGTTCATGCTCTGTTAAAAACTACCTATATAAGTGCATCATTCTTTTTTGGTTCTATCAGTCGTTCACATATATAGGTCCTGATTAGGTAGTCAATCGCTTTTTTCCAAAGTGCGTAGACAAATCAACTTAGCGGTACGTATCTTTTGGTGAGCTTGAAATAGGTTGAGTGTGGTAACACGCTCTACATTGTCAGGGATACAACCTTGGAAGAGATATTGTTGGCTACAATGATATTTCAGAGAGAGATACCGAGTGAGTTCAGCACAAGAAGTACTTTTTGGAATTCGTCGATCCTCTTGTCAAGAAGAGGATCAAAGATAAATCGCGAGACGTCAGGTCCAGCAAGAGCTTCTTTCATCGGATTTGGTTGTGCAGCACGACGACATATTCACGAGTCTAGGGCAATTTTATTTAATTGTACCCTAGTTGTAGAATGCATATTAATGTACCTAGGTACTTGCTTTGAGTGGACAGCCAAAAGCTTTGAATGGTATATAACTGGGTAGTAAAAAGCGATGGGGGTATTATGACCTCAAATGCATGTTGACATCCGAGGATGAAAGAGCAGCTGAACTACTAGGTATGTCTGTTGGGTTGTTTCTAGAGTAGAAGAAAGCCCTGGAAAACCTTGGGAACTGATGTCAGGGGCAAACTCAATCTTGAGGAGTCAATCTATGAGGCATGGTGCACTAGGGAATTCAAGCGAATAGGTACTCAGGCATCTAAATAGAGTCATGGTCAAGAGCAGATATCAATCTGCCTCTGTGCTGTCCTGCGAAGGTACTATATTCTCGAGAAAGCATCATAAGAGCCACTATATAATGAAAGTATTCGAGGGTTCCCTAGGTGCCAGGCACCCGGGGTCACTCATGTTCTTTCGTTCTTCTCCCATCTCTGTTTGGGATCTCTCCTCTCTCCATGCAATCGGAACTTTGTTTTCTGGCTCGGCCTAGTTCTCCAACATAGCTCTCTAACGGAAAGGAAGGGAACCTTTAAAGGCTTATATGCATATGATAATAAGCTTATAAAGCAACATTATTAATAAGACAGGGAAGAAGAGAAAATGAGAGAAAAGACCACTTGAGAGAGAGAAAAAGAGATCTATAAAAGTCCATATATCCCAGTCACGTCAAATAATCGGCTCGTTGATGCAACCATGGTTTCAAGCATTTCTCTTCAAGGTCTCATGAAGACTGCTCATACATTCAAGCAACCGTCGGCATTCCGGGTCTGTCTCTTTCCAGCCCCTCAGCCAGAGCAAAAACCTAACTATTATGCAGATTCTCTGATGTTGCAAAGCAAACCGACAGCGTAGCCGATATCTAATGATTCTATCCGGTGAGAGTTATAAGACCGTTTCCTATATACTCCTAAGCTCTGAGTTTGTTATATATGGCTAAGACCTAATAGGAAGATATAAGTGACTCTCACTATTGTACTAGGGGGAGCGCGAGAATTTATAGGGGGCCTATGGCTAACTGAATTTAGTAGTATAAAATCCACTGAGATCTAAAAGAGAATAGATCCTAGTTTGATTTCCCGGTCTGATTATACGTACTAAAACCCACGTTACTTACGTATGCTCTTTTTATTATTTACCCCGACGTAAAAGGTATGCTTCCCCCGATAACGACAGCCCCTCCCACGTAAGTGAGCTTAATCCCCGACGCCCTTTCTTCTCTATTAATCGCTAGACATTAATATAGACTAATGGCTATAAGATATCTAAGCCTTTCACGAAATTAGTCTAAACTATTACTTATTTAGATAAGATTTATATAGTATAATAGTACTACTCTAGAAACTTAGAAGGCCCTAGGTAGAGTACCACGCCTAAAAAAGACAGTTTAAAGACGCCACAAGTAGGCTGCGCCAAAACCCACGAAACCCATTAAAACCCATTAAATCGTAAAAACTGACTTTCACATGACTACATAATTTATGCAGTTCTAGGTGGCTTCTTTTGGTATTTTGTATACATATGAAGTCTGAATTTATATATTACCATCTTCCAACTTTGTCAAATATATCAAATATATATCTCTACAATTTTACACCACAACATATATTATATCGCACTTGTAAAATAAATCAATATGATATTCAAATACCGTATAACTGATAAACACCCACCATTCATGTAGTTATTACTCTCTATTAAAGAGACATATCAGTTGGATTACTAGATGATTATGGCAGACACATTAAAACAGTGATAAAAAACCGTAACTTAATTTATCAATATTATATAAGCCAAATTACGTAGCTTGGCCTTGCCTAATCCGGAAAATAATACAGAGAATAGGTCGAAATGGGTTTTGGGTTGGGTTTGGGTTTGGGATCTCGACCCACCAGTGGGTTTTGGCGCAGACTACATAGGAGAAGCCGAGGTTCCGTGGGTAGAAGTGCACAAGTTAAGTGAAGTACTTAATCTCCTTGGTCAAGGTACGGAATAGAACTTCCGAAAATTACTAGGTTAGACCTCCAACCTATAACATTGATGGACGTACTAATTAAAACATAGGCTAGATTGCAAGGTATCTGCCTGAGAAGAAACGAAGAAACCCAAGTAAGCTTTCTTGACCAATTATAACGAAACCACATTCCTACGAAAGCCGGATAGTGTGCGCTGGACTCTTCAGTACTCACCTGTGATTGATACACCTCGATTGCCAAGATTCGAGAACTCCTCAACAAAATTGCCTGTCAAGTGTGGCAGTCGAGTTTGTGCATGGGGGCTTTACTCGGGGAGCGTCAGCCGCGTTGGGCCAAGTCATTGGCCACCAGGTTCCTGATGGTCAGTCATATTTGTGAGACCTGCGCTGCTGGTCGGGGCGCCTTGACGACGTGCGAAGTGGTGGTAGCGTTCGACGATCCATGTACAAGACTCATGTGTCTCACATCGCTTTGAAGGCGACAAGACGTTCTCCTCGAGAAGGAATGCAACCAGGCATTCTAAGAGGGTGCACGATGAAGTCAAATGTGAGGTATGAGTCTTCCGATAGTGAGGATGACCCAAGTTTCTGTGTGTTCCAGAGGGATCAGGAGGAAATTGAAGAGCTATTTCTTTTTGGGAACGCTTTATCTAGCGCGAGCCTGTTGCCAAAGTTCTCATGCGTGCATCGCAGCCGTCTGTGGTGATCGGAGATGTTCAAGCCTTTGACAATGAAACCGACATTCTCCCGGACATAGCTATCGGTGTGACCATCGGCAACAATGACTTCAGCAAGGAAGTTAAGGTACTCGGTGAGCTGAAATTGTATAGTATGACCATATGAGTCTTTAATCTAACGGTCTTGATTTACAAGGGGTTACGTGATTCAGAGGGCCCTCTCAGTTCTATGTCAGAATATTGTCAGATATCTTCTACTCTTAGATGAATCTCCCAAAGTAATTTGTATATTAAATCTAAAGCGCGAGGCCAAGCTCAAAGCGCGTACCTAAAATGCTTGGACTCCATATCCGTCAAGTCCTTAAATCCATCCAAGATAGCCTGGGAGGTGGCATCCTCTAGTGTCTCATCAGTATCAGCCGCAACCATTGCAGCATCTCTCCTTCTATTCTCCCATTTCATCGACATATATGCCGCACATGCTAGAACAATTATACCCGCATAGCAAATGAGCAGACCTAAAAGACCCGAGTAATAGCGCGGGGACTCGTTAGCGAAGAAGATATTCGCACCGGCGACATTACCGGCCGCATAGAGCGAGAACCAGAGACCATTAGCGACCGCCCGCTTAGTGTGGCCGGCGACATTGGTGGCAAGCAGGTTCCACGAAATAATAACAGGTGCACCAATGAGATACTGCAGCCAGGTGCATCCGACTAAAGTCCAGGGACGGTCAAGGCTGGTGAAGCGGATACCCAGAAGACCACCGAAGGGGATCAGACAGACGACTGCGAGAACGATGCAGCGTGAATCTTTAACGTATGTAGCGATTATTCCACAGATTGGAACAACCACCGCTTCGATCGCACCTGTAGGTAGTTGGAGGAGTGTAGTGTAGATCCCGCTGAAGCCAAAGCCTTTGATCAAGGCTGATGCAAAATTCGATGAGCCGCCGTTGATCACACCGCAGGCGATGCCGACTCCCGCGCAGCAGAGGACTCTGAAATCGTAGAGAATCTCCAGAGCCTGGCGTGGTTTGATGTCTCGGGTCTTCACGCCGATCATGTTCTCGGCGACACGCTGCACGGCGATCACGCGCTGGCGGTGGGTTAGGAAGCGGGCAGAGCTGGGTGAGTCGGGCATAAGCCAGAGGAAGAGACAGCCGCAGAGGAAGTTGAGTAGTCCGATGGTTAGGAAAATCAACTGCCAGCTATGGAGCGCGGTGTTGTGTGAATGGCCGAGGCCGAATCCTAGTAGTGCTCCTACCATTGTGGCCATGCCATTTGCGCTGAGCCAGATAGCCATGCGCAACGGTTGTTCGGAGCGCTTGTAAAACATTGATGTAAGGTTCATCACTAGATAGGAAAAATATGTAAGTGCTTTCCATATCTTTGGTTTGTGCTGTGGGCTACTCACTGCATGGACTGACTCCGGCCTCTGCCATGCCCAGGAGGAATCTCAATACCAGGATCCCTCCGTAGTTCTTCGCTCCAACGTGTGCAACAATGAGTACACTCCAGATCAGAAGCATACCGCCCATGTATTTTGCGATTGGCAACCGCTGGATTAGGAGGTTGGCTGGGAGGGCCCAGAAGAGATAACCGAAGTTGAAAATAGCCGCAACCCATGAATATCGTTGGCCTTCAAGACCGAGGTCTGGGATCAAGGAGTATGCCGATGCATAATTAAGCGATAGTTTGTCTACAGATGTTAGTTATAGAATAACAATGGGGAAACGCCTATGCATACCGAGGAATTGAATAACATAGGTCAGATAGAGCTAGAGCATGACAGACTGTCAGAAATAGCGCTCATCAAAATATTATAGTGGTCACTCACCATCGGCATAATCCTCCAGTCGATAATCCTTAGCACCTCGGCGCCCTCAGTCTCCAGTTCCTCGGCAGTCAGCTGCTCCGCCTCCAGATACAGATTCGCTCCGATATCGTGAGCCTCGCCGAGTGCAACATGTGTAACATCTTTCTCCGCAGTGGACTGGTCCACTTTTTTGTCGTTGGGGTTCATCATAAGTGGGGGTCAAGTTGAACAGAACTGAGAAGTCCCTGTATCAACGTCCAGCGTTCAGCGCCTGGTTATTATATGCAACCCCGTGAATATAACTCGCTATCAACGCCAAGGAGATAAGCATCGTTCCAAGCGCCGGAGGTTATTTCTTTATCTGTGAGGTTATCTTCGCCGAGTTGTTTGAGATAGGAGGAAGCGGCCAATAGTCCGCCATAAAAAGTGTGGGGAGAGCGGACTATTCTCCGCTTTATGGGGTCATATACTTGGCCCTCACTAGATAACTCAAGGAATTCACTCGATGAACGATATTACTCGCCTTTCATTTCAAGGTTTCCATTCTGAAAAAGCCAATACCCCTCAACGGCATGGCTTACCAACCCCAAGGCTTCTCGCTACTCGACGCCAGTATCTCCGAGCTCCAATCTGCACTTTCTTCGGGATTGCTCTCTAGTGTGGGCTTAGTGTCGCGATACCTACGACGAATCAGCATTTATGACGCAAACAACCTAAAGCTTTCCGCCATACCAATCCTAAACCCATCCGCCCTCGACGAAGCAGCCGCCTCCGATGCCCGACGCGCAGCAGGTCTACCACCGCGCCCATTGGAGGGGATCCCCTACCTCGCAAAAGACAGTATCAAAGTAAAGGGCATGACTGTTGCTAGCGGATCGCCTGCATTTGAAACCCTCATTGCCAACGAGGATGCTGCCTGTATTCAACTTCTCCGCGAGGCCGGCGCCGTGCTTCTCGGCCGGACGAACATGCCCGCCATGGCGTACGGTGGTATGCAACGCGGGTGTTATGGGCGCGCTGAAAGTCCCTATAATACTGCCTATCTTGCTGCGGCGTATGCTTCCGGTTCATCGAATGGATCGGCTGTCGCGACGGCGGCCAACTTTTGTGCTTTTTCTCTAGGCAGCGAGACTGTTTCTTCGGGTCGCTCTCCGGCGTCAAATAATGCCGTTGTTGCATATACACCCTCGAAAGGCCTTCTTCCTCTCCGTGGTGTCTGGCCACTCTACTTGACCTGTGATGTCCTAGTGCCTCATACCAGGACTACGGCAGACATATTCCACGTCCTAGATGTTCTGGCTGTGTCCGATAAAGCCCCGATAGGAGATTTCTACCAGGAACAAAAACTTATCTCCCTCCCTTCAATAAATGAACTCCGACCGCAGTCCTTCTCAGAATTACAAGATGGCACATCCTTGCGCGGGAAGCGCATTGGTGTACCGTCAATGTACATCGGAGGCGATGACTCTTCTCTATCCCCAGTTAGCAAAGTCAACACCCGGCCTTCCATAATCAAGCTATGGCAGAACGCCAGAGAAGTTCTCAAGTCCTGCGGTGCGGAGGTAATTGAAACAGACTTCCCACTCGTGACAACCTACGAATCAAACGCAGAAAAGGGGCAGCTCGTCACCGTCGCAGGACTACCAGAAGGCTGGTCTGCGTTGGAGCGGAGCGAGCTAGTCGCGCATATCTGGGATGACTTCCTGGTCAATAACGGCCAAAATGGTCTCGACACTCTTGCTCAAGTCGATCCGACGACTATCTTCCCGCTTGCACCGGGGTCTTTGAAGGGTGCGCCCGATGCGGCCAATGCGCTGCGGTGGCATGAGATGGTCAAATACCCGCGCCGGAGGCCAGCGTCTATTTCTGACGTCCCCGGTATTCAGCAAGGAATCCAGGCTCTTGAGAATGCGCGCAAGGAGACTTTTGAAGACTGGATGGATGGGCTTGGGCTTGATGCTGTGGTTTTCCCGGCTAATGGCGATATCGGCGCTGCTGATGCGGACTGCGATGAGATGGCTTCGCTGTTTGCCTGGAGTAATGGCGTCAAATACTCTAATGGGAACAGACCTATTCGCCATCTCGGTGTGCCTACTATCTCTGTCCCTATGGGTCTCATGGAAGATACGGGGATGCCGGTTAATCTTACCTTCGCTGGGAAGGCATATCATGATAACAGTCTGCTTAAGTATGGCTTTGCTTTTGAGACTGCGATGAAGGGCCGTATTCAGCCACCGCTTGTCCCTGCTCTTGATTCTGATTTCATCAAGGGTTGTAAAGATCCCCGGCCGTGGGCTTCTCGATCCGCCGTTGAGTTGGTGGTGGAGACTCAAGTGAAGGAGATCCACGACTCCGCGGTTACGGTCCGGATCCAGGGATTGGTGGTACCCAAGGACTCCCAACTGCAGACTATGGAATGCCATATCAACGGCCAAGTGTTCAAGCCGGTCATAGAGGGGGATAGGTGGCTTGTCACAGCTTCGTATCCCGCATCGGAACGTGACAAACCCTGGGAGAGGTGGTCGAGTCCCGCTTTCACGCAGACTATCGTAGTGATCACAGCTCAGACAAAGGATGGCTCGACAACGGGCAAGTTGATCTTACTATGAAGACCTAGTGTCGCCGAAAAAGAAATACAATCTTCTTTCCATTACCCGATTATACAGCACGCCTGAGATAAATACAAAGCTCACATATTCACAATATCTCTTTAAAATCACCCCCTAACGAGTCATGAGGTTTACTCCTCCCATACATCATATCTTCAATCATCCCTAAGACCGCTCGGTGTAAATACTTTTTCTTCAACTCCTCCAAGTGCAACTCAGCCTCTTCTAGTGATACCGGGGCACTAGAATTGACTTCAAATGTGCCATGATTCCACATTATCTTCTGTCGTATGAACTCAAACACATTCATATACGGCGTCGCATCCTTCCACCGGTCGACAAAACCAGCCAGATTGGCTGCACATGTAGCAATGGCCTGTTGGGTGTTCTGTCTGATGCGTTGCTGATGCCGAATATCAGTGATAGGGGTTGTCGCCCAGACAATGTAAAGCACCATGATTCCTGCTCGGAATTGGAATACAAGCTAATAGTGGATTGATTGTTAGTCACGCCAGATCACTTCGAGCATACCGCGATAGAAAAGGACTAGAAAAGGACATCTGGGTCTTGACACATACTGCAGACCAGGTATAGCACATCACATGTCCTTCTTCCTGTAAGAGACGGAAATTCAGACAGGCTTCCGCAATCGTCGCGAGAATTTCCTCTGTTCCGTCCATTTCGACGAAATCACGTTTCTCCTCTATCAGGATCAAGAGACTGTAGACATACAGCTTTCGCATCCATATAGGATGGAGATAGCCGTGTTGGTCATTGTCTGATTCATAGTGTGGGATCTCTTGTCGCCATCTATCAAGAGCGGACTTGAATGAGGAGTTATAGCCTTTGCCATCTCTAGAGAGGGGATTTCGGGCCTTGTTCTCCCGCGATCTTCTGATGCTGGCTTGAATTTTGCGTAGTCGGAACAAGTGACTTATAGCGGGGTTTGTGCTCAGAGTCGGTTGGAGGGTATCTCCTAGAGTGCACATCTAAGTTGAGAATTAGTGACCGCCGTGAAAGGATATTAGAAAGTTATTCGGGCATGACTCACATCATCGTCAACAACGCTATAGGCAGCTGATACTGGTCGATCCCATCCAGAGACAATGACTTCATTGAGCATATAGCAAGTAATAAACATGTTCTCAGACAAAGATTCGCTAGACTCCGTCATGGACCCATTGTCGCGGCATATCGATACGTGCTTCCGGATCTCTGTCATGGCAGCTGTACAGAATGGTAAGACAGAAGAGACGATCGTTGTGATATCCTCGGAAGAAGGAGAATGCATAGCGTAGAGGATCATGAACAGTGAAGCTTGGATCTGTAAGACCATAGACGAATGCCCGACAACATAAGGATAATGTCTCATGGCCGAGGCATAATACTCCTTTGACCGAACGGAGTGCGAGGGGTCTCGCTGTAAAGTATTGCAAAGTGATGCACCGATAGCATACACCATCTGCAGAAAGAAGGATTTCCATTCTTCCTGCCCATCAAGGATTGCTTCGGCATGCCATGATTTCCAAGCTGCTTCGTTCAAGAAGGGCCATTCGCGGTGAGTCACGGAGAAATAGACATTTGTGTAGAGCTCTTTGAGCCAAGGGGAGTCATCATCAGTCAAAGGATATGAGGGTGCCAAATCAATCCACGGGACGTCGAATGTCGTCTCCGGGAATAAAGAGAATGCGCCAGGCGAGAAGGATAATGGAGACGTCTGTGATCTTTGGCTGCTGTGTTGCAAGTCTGACAGAAGCATGAGAGACCCATCATTATCTGCTCCACTACTATTCCGATCGGTCATCAGGTAGTCTGAATCATTGCCTGGATCATTGCGACTGAGTTCTGGTTCTTCAAAATCCGTCTGAACCCCAGCATCACACGTTTTCACCGTCGTTTCTGTAACCCTCGACTCACGGTCCAACTCCGCGACCCGTTTCTCGAGCTGTTTCAAGTATTCCAGCGGGATTGTGATGTTATCTCCCGTCTTCCGTGACCGAGCAGGCAAGCATTCAGCGCCCTTGCGACGACATTCGCCACATGAAGGTTTCGCATGATCACATTTCCGCTTGTGTCGGAAACAGCGATCGCATGCTATTTCTCTATGCTTCAGAGGGCGCGACATGCAGCAATCGGGAACATACAGGGAATGAGGAAATGCGGGGAGACTCGCGATGACGGGGTTGATCTGCGCCGATGCGATATCAGTTCCGTGTTAAGTGTCTGTAATAGGAAGGTATAGGCGACTTTGATAAGAAATGCTTTTTTATTATATATAGTATTTCCTGTTAAGTATATAACATGTAAGATCGTAGAAGAGCATTGTCAAGTCAGGTCAACCGGAAATAAAGCCCATGGTCATCGCATCGGTCATAACGTTTGTAAAACATTCATACTCGTCCCCTCGAGCCCGTAAAGGATTCTCACTGGATCAAGAAGTCGGCAGGGATCAGTTTTTGATCCATTTTTGAGCCTTTGTATCATATCCAATCAACTTAGGATCAACATGTAGATTCTTGAGCATGAACTCCATTGTGAACCCCTAAGTAACAATGTCAGCACACGATTCCACCCAAAACCACAGTAACATCACAACACCTACCTCATCCTGACTCTCCTCTTCTCCGTTATTCTTGTTCAGTGGACGATCAGAAGAATCCTCAGCACCGTAGTTATCGATATCTCCCTCATCCTCGTCAATGTGCTCCCGCTCACGGTTCTCTTCGTCAAACTCCCAGCGAGTCATATCACGCTTCGACCGTTCTTTCCAAGCCGCCATTCCTCCCATACGATTAAACCTTTCCTTGGCGCCGACAAATACCTCATCCGCGGCGTCCTGGCTGGCAAGCCGCCATTTGGTGATGAGAGTTGGAATCTCGGTGTATCTGGGATTGGTCTCGACCTTGAGGGCCTGAGTTGCATATTCGAGCTCTCTGATCACTGCGTCGACCTTTGACTTGATCTCTCGGTGCTGTTTCTGTAGTTCTAGGATTTCTGGGTCGGTTTCTGGTGGGGGGAATTGGGAAAAGAGTTGTAGCATGGGTCTTCGCTTAGGAGGTACTGGAGTTGTTGTCGGCTCTGGTGGAACTGATAGTGGGTTGGACTCTACAGGGGTGGTACCAGTGGTTGGGATCTGTGTGTCCTCGGCAGTCCTGGGTGCAGCAGACTCAGATGGCATGTCGTCCGTGTTTGTTGGTGCAGATCTGCGTAGCGGGGACTTGAACGGCTTCGAGAGAGCAGTAGCCGCGTCGATGCGACGACGTTTACTAGGTGGCTTATCCATGGTGCATCAATTGGACACAGACCTCAAAAGTGCGATGGGTTTAACAAAGAGGAAGAGACATAAGAAAGTTGGAGTAGCCAAGTGAAATGCGGAGATGCGATAGTCTTATCGATAAGCGAACTTGGATTTTATCTACAAAAAAGGTCACGCTGAAATGCATAGACTGTAATCTCTTCAATGGCCAACTCCTCCTGCCACCCATTGCCCGAAGTCAGGATCGCCAGGCTGAGGGAATAATCCATGGTCGTTAGCGTTCCCATGTCCATCCTGGGCATTGGCATTAGCATTAGCATTGGCATTGGCGTTCTCATTCTGTCGGTTGCGCTGCTGTTGCTGACGGAAGTAAACCAAAACCAGCAGCGCAGCCGCCAATCCTACAATGAGGAGGCCCTCCAGCATTCCCTCGTCGATATCGAGGTCCAGGTCGTCATAGTAGCCATCCTCGTGGCCTTCAGCTTCCAAACCACGATATTCATCATCGTCTCCCCGTTGTAGTTCATAAAGGTCTTCGTAGTAACCCTCCTCGTCGTTCTCGATGAAGGCCTTGACCCATTCTTTGAAGGTACGACGGGGTTTCGAGTCTAGGGATAAATTTAAGTAAGAAACTAGAAAGACGCGATTACTTTGACGGGGTAAGTGGGAAGGAGAAGCTTACCTTCCTCCTCGTGGATGGGGTTAATGTTTCCGTTGGTGATGCGATTCCAGTATCCTCGAATGCGCAGTTTGATCAAGCTGAGTTTCACTGGCAGATACGCTTCGGGGCTGAGGTCAAGAGCCAAGTCATAATACCGCTTGGCCATGTGGAAATCCTGATCTACTGCCACACCATTCTCATGCATCCAGCCCAGATTCCAATAACCCTGTGCACTGTGATGGGCTTCAGCGGCATTATGGTAACAAGCCGAGGCCTTGTCAGCGTCGACAGGTGTACCCGTGCCAGACAGGTAGTAGTCACCCATCTTGACCAAGGAGTCGATGTTGGCTTGCTTCGAAGAGCGGGTCCAGTAAATCAATGCCAGCCGCGCATTGCGCATCAAGGAGGACCGAGCCTTCTGGGTCCATGGAAGAATGGAACTGAGCGAGAGTACAGAACGATGCTCATCAAGCAGATAAGCCACATTTGCCTGTGCGTTCTCATATCCCTGCTCCGCTGCCATCATCGATGGGATGAGAGCGCCCTCCTTGTCACCAGATTCGTAAGCAGCATTTGCCTCCACGAAGGCCGAGTGGACGATCTCTGCTTTTTCGGCAACCATTTTATAGTAGGCGGCGGCCACGCCACAGTGCCGCTGTCTCCCAATACCGAAGTTGGCCATCTCCGCTAGGTAATAGTATGCCTCCATCCACCCCCAGCGGGCGGCAAGCTCGAAGTAGCGTGTTGCGGCTGCCACGTCTCCTTGATCCAAGAACAGAGCACCCAACCGTGATTCCGACGCGGGGGAGTCCTGCTCTGCCGCTGCTTTGAAGTAGTGGGATGCCTTGAAGCCATCCTGAGGAAGACCATAGCCCTTGAGATACATCAGACCCATCCAATGCTGGCACAGAGAGTCCCCGTTCGCAACACCCCGCCGAAACCATGTGAGAGCAGTCGGGTAATGTTGTTCAACACCCTCTCCGCGAAGGTACATCAGGCCAATATGACCTGCAGCCTTGGACGCCAGCTTATCAAGCCCTGCAGGGGGGTTTGAGTTGACGGACCCATCCTTGTTCCAATATTTCTTGGTAACAACTTTGAAATACCTCATAGCGCGTCGGAAATTCCGCGGCAAGCCCCGGGCGCCCTCAAAATTCATCTTACCGAGGGTGTACGTAGCCTTCAGTTCACCCTTCCGGGACATGAGGTCCAAGTACTCCAGGATATCTTCCACGCTGGCCTCAGGAGTGGCATTGGCAGGGTCACGCGCATTTTGACCCGAGCTCGACACGCTGGCTCCTGGGCCGTAGACACCACCTTCCTCATCTGCCCAACGATAAGATTCTCGAACCATAGCCCTGCCACCCGGAGGGCCTGAGCGATAGTACTCGATCGCCTTGTCCGCAACCTTCTTGTAGTAATGGATCGCGTGGTCACAATCCTTCGGTGTCCCAATGCCAGTGTGGTAGCGATACGCAAGTGTCATCTCTGAACGGATATTCCCTGCTTCCGCTGCAAACTCATGGTACATCAAGGCCTTTGCCTGGTCGGGTTCGACCGCACCGCCTATCCCCGTCGCGTACATGAACCCGACCATGTTCTGCGCCGTATTGTTTCCGTCCAGCCATGCCAGCTCATGGTACCAGCGGAAGGCCTCTTTGAAATCGCGGGGATGGGAGAAGTTGCCATAGAAATTCATCTCTGCTAACAAGAACATCGCATCCGGGTCTCGGTCTTCGTCTGCAGCTGTTCTCAGCTCCTCCACTGCTCCTGCGAGATGTTTGTTCAGTTTCCGCTCGGGCTTTTCGGTCGAAGGGCCATTCAAGAATAGCAGTCGGACCGTTTGACGGCCATAGTAGACGGCAGTTCCTAGTAATCCTCTCGACTTGTCCGATCGAAGGACTGGGTCCTTTATTGTGCGCAGGATATCCCAGGCATTTTCAACTCGTTCTATTATCAGACGATAAAGGCAATCAGTATCAAGCGTCGGTCGATAAGGCGAAAACTGTCTACTCACGAGTCATGGGTCGGGGCTCAGCTTCCCCAGCCTGGAACGTAAATTCGTGATCTGCATCGTGTCCGATAGCCCCGGAGGCTGTTTGGTCAGTGAGTGGTTGACCAGGCCCAGCTGCGCATGTCTGCAATAGCACTAGAAAGGGGTGTCAGCTCACGTTTCGGTCCTCCGGGTGCGGGCAGACTTACGCAGGGCCGAGAGAAAGTGGGAGAGCGGCGTCCTCATAATACCTGCGAAATACTGATGTAATGTTGGAGTGTGAAGCACATTGCGACTCTGAGAGCAATGTGAATCGCAAAGGCGATAGAGCTGGGAATCGTGATATGATGTAGTTCCAGAGTACGGGCCACTTGGCTTGACGGAGCTTCATTTTGCCGAGGGCCAATCACTACATTGTGTCGTACCTGCGTACAATATATGCTTTCTATGTACATGCATATTTTCTGAGTACACGGTATATACGTGCCAGTTTAATGCTCTTGTTGTCTTATTCAATAAGTTCTTCAATGTGTACATAAAACTATGCCGGAAGTCTTTCATAACCTAAACTTCGCTACCTACATATGTAGGCTGTCTACAAAAGCGGTGAGAATCTATAAGCTGCCAAAGCCTAGAAATCCAGCGATCTATAAACATCATTGTTTTCTACTCCCTACGAGGTATAGGAAAAAGAATTGGAAATGTCATAAACATTGTTGGAATCTACTCGACCCCTCTGGAGGGTGTGTACAAAACAGAAAGCAGCAGTCAAAATACATCCCGGGTGCGCTTTCCATGCAATAAAAAGGATTTGGGCAATCCCCCAGTGGCAACCAAAGTCCACACTCCTATCGCCCAGCATCCATGGACAGTGTCCTCGGTTCTGATTGAAGTATGTGCGGCCTTCGCATTCGCGTAGGGGAATAGTGCGCCGGGAAAAGCAAAGCAGTCTCAAAACGATGGCGGCTGAAACCAAACTCGGCACGTGTTGTTGGTTAATTGGTTAAAAAAGACTAAACAGATACAATGAATGGGAGGCAATCCCCGATATCGTGGAAAAAAAATTATCAATCATTTTCGAGATGTGTAGCGCGAAAAGATCTTTTTTGTTTAGTGGTCGAGGTTCAAGTTGATGATGGTACAGGTGTCGAAAATGAGCCTGAGACAGGCAAGCCATCTTCGTACCATATTCACTGGCGCGGCGAGGTAGGGCTGTACGCCGGGGACGTCGGACTGTACGCCGGAGAGGTGGGCGACGTTGGGGAACCAGAGAAATTTGGCGAAGTTGGCGAGTATGACTGGGGGCTCGTAGGAGACCAACCAGGCGAAGTTGGTGTGTACTTAGGGGAGGTGGGAGATGTTGGAGACAGGTGCCGAGCACCACCGATCGCAGGACTAGTGGGACTGTAGCTCGGCGAAGTGGGACTGAACGCCGGTGAGGCCGGACTAAAGCTGGGGGAAGTCGGACTGTAGTTAGGCGACGTCGGCGAGAACCCAGGCGAAGTCGGAGAGTATGAAGGAGAAGTGGGCGACGCTTGGCCGTAGGCAGGCGAGGTTGGCGAGTAGGCCGGAGACGTGGGTTGGAACGTTGGGCTGGAAGGCGAGAAGCCAGGAGAGGTCATCATTCGCGGGCTCGTCATGCCAATGCCAGGAGAGGTCGGTGAATAGCTTGAAGACGGAGAGTATCCAGGAGATGTTGGGCTAGTATTGAACGGACTTGTTGGGGAGTAGCCGCCGGGGCTGCGAGCCGCGGGGCTGAACCCACCAAAGGTACTCGCGGTAGCCTGGTACTCGGTGAGACCTCCAGTAGGCTCCTGGCCAATCTGGTGCATAGGCGAGAACGTCGAATTGGGGTCGCCACCAGCCAGGTACGGGGAGCTGGCCATAGGAGAACCAGTGTCATACTGAGTGGCAGCACCGTCGGAAATGATGGCATCCTTCGCGCCGACCGCGCCCATAAGGCCGTAGCGTGCATTGCTGGACACGACGGTGTTGAGCAAGCTCTGGTCCAGGTAGACGTCGAACTCACCCGTTCCGGCGGGCGCCATCTGTCCAAGGATCAAGTTCTCCGATACACCGCGGCAATCGTCGAGCTCTCCGAACGCAGCAGCCTCGAGCAGAATTTCAACTGTCTCTTCGAACGAACAACGCATGAGGGCCCCATTGTCGGCACGGTTGATACCGTGACGAGTAACAGGAGTCAGATAACCACGGACAGTCATGACATCGACCAGCAGAGCCAAGTGACGGTGATTAACGTAAGAACCGTCAAATGCAAGCACGAGAGTCAATTCGCGAAGCACAGCTGTACGGGCAGCCTCAATACCGAAGACCTCGAAAATTTCAATGAACTGGTTAGAGTAGGTACGCGAG